AGACGGGGGGTCCCCAACGAGAGGGCGCTAGGGAGATGGGGGGTCCCTAATGAGAGGGCACTAGGGAGACAGGGGGTCCCCAAGAGGGCACTAGGGAGACGGGGGGCCCCAATGAGAGGGCGCTAGGGAGATAAGGGGTCCCCAACGAGAGGGCACTAGGGAGAGATGGGGGGCCCCTAATGAGAGGGTGCTAGGGAGATGGGGGCCCCCAAACCATGACCCCGCTTCACAGACACAGCACTCCTGGCCCGGCACCGCTGTAGAGGCAGGAGCTGCTCTGCTGGACCACGGCGGGCAGGCGTCAGGGTTGGCTTGGTGCGGGGAGCCCAGGTCCCGTGCACATGGGCCCAGAGGAGGTGGGGAGGGGGCACTGGCAGCCGAGGACACACAGTGGCCTTCACAGGCCCTGGAGAGGACGCTGACAGAGGCCGCGAGAGCCTGTCCGTCACCCGTAGTCCGGCTCCACCGTCCTGGGATCCTGCCGCCCGCTCACAAGCACGTTCATTAGCTCAGAACTCAAAACTAGAAGATGCCTCCAGCCCCGTCATGAGACCGGAGAGGGGAGAAGAGGAGACAAGAAGTGGAGCCTTCCTGGACCACGTTCTAAGCAGCTGAGCCTGGGTGCTGGGCGCACAGTGGGTGACTGAAAGATGGAATGGGCGGGCACTGCCAATCAACGTCCGCTGACTCCTCTCCTCCTGCTCTGGTCACTGCCCCTTCCTCACAGGGACCTGCAGCAGCCATCGCTGACTGTGACCGTCGCCCACAGCTCACCGTGGCAACTGTGCACCTGTAGTGTCCATGCCTGGGACTCTGGCCTTTCATCTCGGGGAGGCCTGGCTGAAACGTTTTCCAAAGGAAAGGAGACAGGGAAAGAGACTCTCAGATCCCTCCCGGGATGCAGTTAAAGAAAGCTGTAGAGTCTCGGCCGGGCGCGGTGGCTCACGCCTATAATCCCAACGCTTTTGGAGGCCAAGGTGGGCAGATCACAAGGTTGGGAGATCAAGACCATCCTGGCCAACATGATGAAACCCCATCTCTACTAAAAATACAAAAAAAATTGGCCGGGTGGGGTGGTGCGCACCTGTAGTCCCAGCTACTCAGGAGGCTGAGGCAAAAGAATCGCTTGAACCTGGGAGGCAGAGGCTGTAGTGAGCCGAGATTGCGCCACTGCACTCCAGCCTGGCAACAGAGCAAGACTCCGTCTCAAATTAAAAAAAAAAAAAAAGTAGAGAAGCTATGGTGGACTATTACACACCCATGAAAAGGGATGAAACGTAGGTCCGCACAACAACACGACATACCTGGAAACGTGAGGCTTGTGAGAGGAGTCAGACACAAAAGGCCGCACACCGTGGGAGCCACTTGTGTGAATGGCCAGAACGGCCGATCCACAGAGGTGGAGATTGGACTCGCAGGTTCTCGGGGCTGGGCAGTGGGCTCCCTATCCCCGGCGTGCGAATGTTCTAGAATTGGGCAGTGGTGATGGCTGCACAGCCTTCTGACTATACTAAATGTCACTGAATCGTTCACTTTAAGATGGTTAATTTTATGCATTGTGAATTTCACCTCAACTTAAAAAAGTTAAAGAATCCAATTGTTTCCAGTTCTTCAAAAGATGGAACATGACAAGGGTGGAAACTGGTGGCCTCGGTCCTGGCTGCTACTGAAGTCTCCTGACCCCACAGACCCCACCCTTGGCCATGCCTGGCTGGTCACTCTGGCACGCCAGGTCAGCTGAGGGTGCCCTGGCCCCACTTTCTCAGAGCGGGCTCAGTCAGTCTCCTGGTTCCCACAGTGCTGCGTGTTTGAGGCCCGAGGCCACCCTCACCACACGCTCCTCAAACTCTGAGAGACCCCAGGCCCAGACGCCACCTGCTCACAGAAGCACCGGACCCCACACCGCACAGCACTCAAGATGCCCACGGAGGGATGGGGGCAGTCAGGAAGGCTTCATGGAGGAGGTGGTGCCAACGGGCCTTGGCCGGTGTGAGCAGTGGGCAGGAGTCGGCTGTCTTGGCTATGACCCAGGAGACCTCGCGTCCTCCCAGCTCTGCAGGGCCAGGGACAGCATCTCCCAGGACAGAACAAGCAGGGAAGTGCCTGACCCAGTCAGGCTCATCCAGGCCCGGGGTGTATGAGTCACCTCGGCTCATTAGTCAGGCCTGAGCTCATCTCCAGGTGCCGGCACATTCCCGAGGCCTCGCCCCTCTTCCGCTGGTTCTGGGTCCTGCAGACCCAACCCCAGGCCCAGGGCGCACGGAGGTCCCGTGACGGCGACCAGCATGAATGCTGGGCCCGGCAGACCCATTGTCCGGCAAAGGCACCCAGAGCACTGGCCGCCCCTCACGGCAAAGTCCAGGGTACACGCAAGTATGCACGGAAACCTCAACGCCTGCCGGCCTGCCCACCCCACCTGGAGAATTCCGCTCCCCACCCGCCGTGGTCCTGGTGTGTCCAGACACGTGGCAGGGGTGTGAGGTCAGGGGCAGGGGTGGCCGCAGAGCAAGAGGGGGGAGCCTGGGGGAGGCAGAGCCCATGAGCACGGCACCTGGGCACACAGTCTGGTCAATGCCAGACAGGTCAAGAGGCCTGAGGCAGGCATGGGAAGCTGGTGGGCCGGGGGAGCCAGAAGCCTCAGGGACTGCTGGTGAGTTATGAGGGGTCACATCTGGCCTCCTGGGTCAATGCCAACCTTAAGCCCCAGAAGAAAGGGGTGGGGAGAAGCCTCCAGGGGCCACTGGCAGGACAGCAGGGGGAGGTGACATTGAGATTTAAAAGGTCCAGAGAGAAACGGCTGCGATGGAGGTGGATACGGTACCCACACAGAGAACAGAAAGCTGGGCCCAGCCCCCAGCGTGGCTGCCCATCAACACCGAGTCCAGATATTCCAGTGACCAGACCCCACACATGCTCCCCAGAGAGCCTGGCTTTTTAAACTGCAGCAGAAAGCAAACGCACAGGCATCAACCTTCCAGAAGTGTGAGCGTGAAGCTGGAGCGTGTGCACCTCAGGAGGCTGCCCTGCTGGGGTGCGGCCCTGGGGCGGCGGGGCTGAGATGCCCCTGCGTCCTGAGAGCACCTGTGTTCACAGCGCCTCCGCCTCCCCTCCCCTCTGCTCAGCCCCCTGCTGTTCAAGAGGCAGCTCCTTCTACCGCGGGGAACTCAGTCCCAGCAGCACGGGCATCCCCCAAGGCCTCCCTCCCAGACCCCTCAACACTTAGAGGAGAAAAGACAGAGAAGAGGCCCCAGAATGGGCAAGTGTCTGCGAGGGTGCAGCCACCAGCTCCCAAACCTGCCGGACAAAGCGGCAATCAGTGGCACGTGCAGAGGGCAGACACTTCCGTGGTCTCATGCCAGGGCTGAGCATTCGGTGCTGCTGCCGTCCCGGCTAGGCCTGGCACCCAAAGGGACCCGCGCTCCCCTGCTCAGGGCGTGGCAGGGTTTCCAGGGGCTTCCAGAGCCGGATGTGATGGGGCAGCCCTGCAGGGATCTGGGCTCCTCCATCTCCACGGGAAGTGTGTGAGCGCCCACTGGGACAGCAAGCGCAGCCTCACCACACTGAACCAGCGGCCGCCCTCTCTCAAAATAACTCCAGGCCAGGCGGGGTGGCTCACACCTGTAATGCCAGCACTTTGGGAGACCAAGGCAGGTGGATCACCTGAGGTCAGGAGTTCGAGACCAGCCTGGCCAACATGGTGAAACCCCATCTCTACTAAAAACACAAAAATTAGCCAGGTGTGGTGGTGCTCACTTGTAATCCCAGCTACTCCGGAGGCTGAGACATGAAAATCGCTTGAACCCGGGAGGTAGAGGTTGCAATGAGCTGAGATTATGCCACTGCACTACAGCCCAGGCGACAGAGCAAGACTCCGTCTCAAAAAAACAAAAAAAGTAACCCAAAAGTCACTCAAACTAAATGTTGTCAATTCACTTATGCCCTGGCCAGGCAACTGCAAAAAGGTGGGGAAGCAGGAGGGGGCGGGGCGGGGGCAGTGCCCTCTAAAAACCAGGACAGTCACACTCAGCCCCTTCCTGGGTTCTCATCCCACATGAAAGAAGCAACAGGGATGCGGAGATGAGGCCTCACGGTGCTTCAAGCAAGAACGACAGCGTCCTGGCAGCCGGACCAAGTCGAAGTGAAGTCTGCACGCACAAATGTGCCGTTCTGACTTGGGATAAGTGTGGATCCCGTGAACCCCGAGAGCCCTTGACCCTCTGGCTCCGCTTTGGAAAAAAATGTCCCCCGCCAGACCACCCTGGGAGGATGGGGGTCACCACAGGCCCCCAGGGGTGTTTCCTTCCTGCTGCCCAAGTCCAGAGGCCGCAGGCCCCGAACCTGCCCGAAGGAGCCGGGAAGGCTGGACAACGAGAGGGACCCTCTGACTCTAGACACAGGATCCCACCTTGTGCAAGTCTGCAGCTCAACTCCACACCTCACAGGGCAGCCCCCGGGAGGCTCCTGTGCAGCGTTCACACAGGAGGGTGTGGGTGAGCGGGGTCATGGCCCCTGCCGTGACGGTTTTCAGAGGCCTTGGGCCACCGGAGAGTGAGGCAGTGGGTCCACCTCCACGCACACCTCTGGGGGGACAGTTGCAGGCACCCCAGGGACGGGGCAGCACCAGGGTGCTCTCCTCCAGGGGAGCCCAGTCTGTGGCTCTGACAGGCATATCCAGGGAGACAGGTGGACGTGGTCGCACTGTATTCCTGGCACACACACATACAGCTGGGGCTCCGACAGGCGTGTCCGGGGAGATAGGCGGACGCGGTCACACTGCTCTCATGGCACACATGGCCGGGGCTCCGACAGGCGTGTCCAGGGAGACGGGCGGACGCGGTCACACTGTACTCACGGCACACACGGCCGGGGCTCTGCACAGCCTGTGGCTGGTGTGAGGAAGGAGGCAGTGGGCGGTGCTGCCCACCCATCGGCTCACAGGCCCAGCAGCACCAACGGAGAGGCCACGATGCCACAAGTCAGACCCACCCCCTCACCACGAGACTGAGTGACCCCCGAGCCCAGGGCGTCTGTCTGAGAAACCTCCTGCGAACAGCTACAGAGGAAATTTTCAGGTGCAAGACATCTGCAGAAAGTTCTGGAACCCGTGCCTGGACCGGTTTGGACCTTCAGTGGAAACACATGAAAGAGAAGGAAAACTAGCTGGGGAAGGATCCCAGCAGCGGCGGCTCAGGTCTGGGAGAAAGGCGCAGGCGAGGCAGTGCCTGAGCAACGGAAACCGACAGGCAGGAGGCGGGACGGGCTGCGCCACAGGCCTCCCGGGGTCCCCACGCCACTGCACACCTAGGACTGCGGGAGGGTCAGTGGGGGCCAAGAGCTGCCCCGGAAGGGAGCCGGTTTTCAGGAGCTTCCAAGCTGAAGGGCAGAAGCCGCCAGGACCTGGCCCAGCGCTCTGGTCCAGGGTCAGGTCACACCTCAGACCAGGGATTGGAGACTGCAAATTGGAGGCACCACTGGCCGCGTGCTTGGGAGTTCTCCACTGGCACAGGTGGGCCACGGGGGCCTCGAGGAAGCGCCTTGGCACTGTGGGAGGTGACTCCATGCAGGCTCAGGCACGGCCGCCTTGGGGGTCGTCTTCCGTGGGGCACCTTGGGGCAGGTGTCCTTATCCCGGGAACCCTCGCCCGGAGACCCCCAGCTAACCCGCAGCAGAGTTGCAATCCAGGCGTGTTTACCTGCGGCCACACACCTCCCCGTGTGGCTCCCCGCCCTGCAGAGAGCGCCTTCCACTGCTCCCTGGTGGAGCCCCGAGCCCGCCTGTGCCGTGGGCCTGCCAGCACCACCAGGGCCCACCACAGAGGCACAGGAAGCCTGGATTTGCTCCTGTATTGCTGTGACTGCCACCCCCTCCACCTGAGAAGGTGCCCCTGTGTCGCTATGGATGGCAGACCGGGCACTGCGGGAGCTGGGGCAGCCTGCCACGGTCCCGACACATGGCCTCCTTAAGCCCTGCACTCCCTGCCCTCCCCCCAGCACCAGCGCCTGGGACCCTCTGCAGGGACTGTTTCCACCAGGGCCCAGCAGCACTACCCAGCACCCTGGCCCGGCTTCATGTGCAGGACCTGCTGGCAGGACAGGCCCCGGTCTGTGCATCAGAATTCGCTGGGAGGCAGCTGCTCCTACAGCCTCAGATTCCAAATCCAAATCCCCAACAGGAGGGCCCTGGGTGAGGAGCTGAGCGCATCCAGCCTCTGTCCCCAGGACACTGCAGAATCCTGGTCCAAGAGGGTCTTAAACTGGCTGGTAAGGGACCCACCGCAGAACCACAGAGTCTGCAGGACGGAACTGCCTCCACCCGGCATGAGCAATACACTCAGGAGAAAACCAAGCTATCCTCCTATCGCGGGGCTCCGGCTGGCCTCCTGTTAATATGTGACTCCAGCCTGAGGTACCTAATTCAATACACTCAGGAGAAAACCAAGCTATCCTCCAAACGCGGGGCTCTGGCCGGCCTCCTGTTAATATGTGACTCCAGCCTGAGGTACCTAATTCAGCATTAACTGGAGTCACTCAATGGCCACGAGCCCCCTGGTTCCGCAGTAACTCAGATGGGGGTGGAGACAACCTGGGCTGACCCTGAGGAGACTGGGATTCAAGAGAGGCCGATCTCCAGACCCACTCACATGACCCTCGGAGCCGGGCCCTCCGGAAGGCGGGAGGCGGGAGGCGGGCACCGGCTGTGTGTGGACACAGCTTTGGGAGGGTCCTGCTGCCGCCCGAAGTGCTTGTGGGGCTCCACACCTTTCTCTCGGCAAATAACTGAACGCAGCAGCAAGGAAAGGGAAGACGGTGGAAGCTCGGGGAACATACCCCAGCCCAGCAAGGGCAGCTGGCTGACACTCAGGGGCTGCACCAGCCAACACTCGGGACCAGACCGGCCAACACTTGGGAACTGGACCAGCAAACCCTCAGGAACCATGTCACCATGGAACGTAAGCCAGTTTCCAACTCCCCTAAGCTCCAGGACACCATTTCCAAGCTCAATTTGCCCTATGGGGAAGGAGAAGTGGTCAAAAGTGAGGACATTAAGACCACTTCGGCCGGGTGCGGTGGCTCACACCTGTAACCCCAGCATTTTGGGAGGCCAAGGCGGGCGGATCACTTGAGGTCAGGAGTTTGAGACCAGCCCGACCAACACGGAGAAACCCCGTCTCTACTAAAACTACAAAAAATTAGCCGGGCGTGGTGCCGCATGCCTATAATCCCAGCTACTCAGAAGGCTGAGGCAGGAGAATCTTTTGAACCCAGGAGGCGGAGGTTGCAGTGACCAGAGATCACGCCACTGCACTGCAGCCTGGGCAACAACAGTGAAACTCCATCGCAAAAAAAAAAAAAAAAAAGCCACTTGGACCTTCCTGAAACCCCCCATCAGGTGGTCTCCCGAAGAACAGACCCCTCCACCTAGGAGGCCCACAGCCCTGCCTCACCCAGTGGCCTAACCTGGGGCTGCCACCTCCCCTTTCCTTGGCAGGCTGCTGGGCGGAGTCCCCATTTTTCACCCCCCGTTTTCCCAGACCAACAGCTGGGAGCGCCTGTGCCGCCCACTGTGCCCTGAGATCTGCATAGCACAGCAACTCACAGATGCCTATTGCTGTCCTGCCACAGCACAAGGTTTGTCAGGCCAGACAGCCACGCACAGGCCCCGGCTCCTGGCTTCTGCCATCTTTTCTGTTCCTGTAACTCCAGCCTGGAGCCTCCCACTCCTTCAAAAGCTGCAGGAAGAGGTGAGACCCCTCAGTGCCCACAGGCAAGGTCCCACCATTGCACTCCAAATGCCTGCACCAAGCCTGGGGCCCTCCTGCCCCTCTGCATACAGAGCCCACCAAGCCCAGGGCCCTCCTGCCCCTCTACAGACAGACAGCAAGGGGATGTGCCAGGGTCCCTAAGCCAAGTCCAGGTGCTCAGGCTTCGCTGAGATTAAACCTCACAGTGAGCCTGTGTGTGCACATGTGTGTGTGCAGGCCTGTGTGTGCCTGCATGTGTGTGTGTGAGCCCATATGTGTGAGCCATGTGTGTATGTGAACTTGTGTGTGAGCCTGTGTGTGTGTGTGTTAGCCCGTGTGTGCGGGAGCCGTGTGTGTATGTGAACCTGTGTGTGCCTGTATGTGTGTGTGTGAGCCCATGTGTGTGTGAGCCTGTGTCTGCATGTGTGTGTGTGTGAGCCTGTGTGTGAGAACCTGTGCATGTGAGCTGTGTGTATGTGAACCTGTGTGTGTGTGAGCCTATGTGTGAGCCTGTGTGTGCCTGCACGTGTGTGTCTGTATGTGAACCTGTGTGTGTGAGCCTGTGTGAGAGCCTGTGTGTGCCCGCATGTGTGTGTGTGAGAGCATGTGTCAGCTGTGTGATGTGAACTTGTGTGCGTGTGAGTTGAGTGTATGTGAACCTGTGTGTGTGTGAGAGCCATGTGTGCGTATCGGCCTGGGAGAGTGTCTGTGTGAGTGTGTTGGCATGGAATGGGGTGAAGATGGCACCATACCACAGGCAGGAATGGAAGGTTGCAAGCTGAGAGGCCACACATATGACACAGGTCATGGTCACGGTGCTCAGGAATTCCAGAGGTTCAGCTGGCCTTGGGGGACCCAGGCTGTGTCCTGTCACAGGGCCCTGAGCCTCAGGTGCTGAGGTGTTCAGAGGTTCTCTCCACTCGGTGGTCCACCTGGCTGCCTAATGCCTGGGAGGTGGCAGGAATGAGGGTCTCTGTGCCAGGCAGGCATGGCAGGTACCTGGCCAACGCTGAAACAGTGTGAGCTTCCTTCCTGGCAACCTGCCAGCCACCCGACCGGTTCCAAGCCTTCCAGGCCTGCAGGCAAGAGAAGGGGACTACAGGAGTGAGCAGTTTAAGAAATGGAAGGCCGAGGTTTTCCAATCTAATTAACAGCATGACAAGCCAGGACCGGCTGCTGACCCACATGGAGCCTTGCACAGCCAGAAACGCAGTGTCCTGCTCTGCTCCTGAGACACTGGGGCTGTCACTACAGCACAGCCCCAGACGCTTCCACACGGGCAGACTCTGGCTCTCCAGGCACGGCGGCGCCCTCTCCTCCCCTTCCCAGCTCTCCTAAGGCCTGTGGTTCTGGAATTCTCTGCTCTGTGCAAGCATGACTGCGGCCCTCCTCCCGCGTCCAGCCGCACCAGGCCCTGGGATCCCAGACGGGCTTCCCCTTCACAAGGGGCTCAAAGCAAGCACCTATGGGGGTGGGGGCAGCAAAGCCGTCTGGCCGAGGTCCCTTCTCTAGCGTGCCTGTCTGTCCGTCTGTCCTTGAGGAGCCTTAAGAGTGCAGGGCGGGACAGGCAGGCACCAGCTGACACAGTACCGGGCAGGGACCAGTGCAGGAGCTCGAGGCAGGGCTGGGTGGGGTGGGGGTGGCCAGAGTCTCCTGGCTGGCAGCAGATGCGGGTGAGTGGCACAGACTGTCCTCATGCCCTCCTGGGAGAGAGGCAGGAATCTGTGACCAGGACAGACAGAGTCAGGACTGGGAGAGGCAGAGCAGGTGCCTGAGCTTGGCCATGCACAGCTTCCAGCGAGGCTGGGTCATCCACGGCTCCCCGAGGTTCCGCGCCACCGCTCGCCGCACCCCAGCACAGCCGAGAGCTGTGGTTTCTCCTCCCGTGGAGTCCCGCGTGGCTACCCACTCCAGGTCCAGCCCAAGGACACCGCCTTCTCCAGGCTGCCTTCCCCACACACGCCACACCTCCAGCCCCAGAAGGTTCTGAGGAGGGGAGGAGCTGGGGCCCCCACTCGCCTTCCTGTTGCCAGGATACAGGCCCAGGAAAAAATGCCACAGCGCTGGATTAATGTCTAGACAGCGTGACCTTTCCCCTGGTTCTCTAGATATAATTGGGACCCAAATTGTCCGGTGTCATGAGCTGACAGCAGGGATGAAGGAGGGGGCTGTTCTCGGTGCCCCAAGGGGACTCTGGGAGAGGGAGAGGGCCACCCACTACCTGCGTGGGGGCTGCATGGGGACAAGCCAGGGTCACCCACAAAGGCGCTTTCTGTTGAGGGGACGTCACCTCTTCCATCAGCGATGACACAGCTCTGAGATCTCAGTGTCCTCGCAATGGCTCCCATTAACTCCCTGCTGCCCGTCCTGCCAGGCTGGTGCCACGAGACCCTCAGGGCTGGGCCATGGGACAGGTGCCCGTCCTGCCAGGCTGGTGAGTGTCCTCGCAATGGCCTGGGCCATCTCCCTGCTGCCCGTCCTGCCAGGCTGGTGCCACGAGACCCTCGGGGCTGGGCCGTGGGACAGGTGCCCGTCCTGCCAGCCTGGTGCCATGAGACCCTTGGGGCTGGGCCGTGCAACAGGTGCCCGTCCTGCCAGGCTGGTGCCACGAGACCCTCGGGGCTGGGCCATGGGACAGGTGCCTGCCCAGCCCTGCAAACGCATCCAGCAGGCGTCGAGGGCTGCCAGGCACAGAGACTCCTACTGCCAGCAGCGCACAGCACCAGCTACGACAGCAACGCCTCTGCCAGGAGACGCAGAGGAGACCAGCCCTGACGCTCCTGTCCCAGGGGGGCTGCTGCACACTCAGGCAGAATGAGGGGTCCTGAGGGGGACCCTCGGCCTACCCACGGCTCCCGGGGCAGGTGACTGGTCTGGTCCTGGTGTTTATCTCAACCTCGTTGTTCAGAAGCTGCTTTTTATTATTTGTGACCATAAAAGGATGTAAACAAATTTGTTTTGAGTCAAAAGTACCTGGGTCCACCGGGCAACAGAGCAGGGACGCAGCCTCAATGTGGAATCAACAAGCCAAGGTTGTGAGAAGATTCTCAGGAGTGGGGTTCAGGGAGGGAGAACTGAGGGCTGGGGTTTCGGGGGGCATTTTACTTTTTATTCCAGGCAGTGCTATATTGGCTGGGATCTCAAATGCTGAATAATGCTCCCGTTGGACTTCAGTAATTTTAAAAAATAGAACTGTTTAAAAATCATGAACATTTCACAATGCAACCAAGTGGCCCCAGGTCCTCCCCTAAGCATGGTGCCCACCCGTGGCTTTGAGGAGGGTCCTTCAGCCCCAGCCAGGCCCTCTGGCATTTACACCCAAAACACCCAATAAATCTGCTGAGAGAAACA